TACACATACAGTTTGAGCACAGACATGCAACCATTCACAATAACGCCTGCACTTCCTGGTATAAGTAACTTTGGAGCAACTGCCAGCTGAGATATCCGAAGCTTTGTGTTACTAATAGCTTTTGCATTTGGGTCAATCCCATACATTGCTGTTACTGCTGCGTAGTAAAAAGTAAAAAGTGCTGACAGTGAATATGCAGTCACAATCAACAAACAGCAGAATTGACTGTGTCTGGAGATATATGACAGAAATTCAATCACAATTAGTCAATCATTTGCTTAATTATCAGCGCCCTACTTTGGTTGCTGATACACTGTAGATTGTGCTACTAGAGCATGGGAGAATGAACAGAATAGTGATGATTGTAATTATGTGCTGGTTTGTTGATTCAACCATTGTACTGATGCAAGCCATTATAATAAATACTGCTGTATCATGTCTGTGTGTGTATGTGTGTGAGTGTTTATGGTAAGTCCTTTTAACATTTAACTTTGACTAATTTCGCCGGTTTTAATCAAATATATCTACGATAAATTTCTCACTAGTCAAAATGTTAATTGTTGATAACAACAGTTAATTTCTCACTACTAGTGTAGAATCCACTTTATCAGACATATGCAATGTAAATAGCAAATGCCACTGTTGATACCTGAAATGGCCACTGGTCACAATCCTTTCTCAACAAGTGGAAATTCAGTTGTCACTGTTCTTCAATAGTCAGAAAGGAAATACTGATATAATAAGTGAATTAAAGATATCTGTAAATAAGTAAGGCAAAAGTAATTTCTACGTGTGATGTATGAAATTTATATTGTAACATATATCTTAAAGATATAGATATCTTAAATCAACATTTCCACTAGTGAAAATAAATAGCTACTTATCAGAGCTACTAGTTAAATGTTAAAAGGGCTTGCCATAGTGCGTGAGATTTACACATCTATTTCTGAACCCATGTGATCTTGGTCATGTTAGAGTTACATCAGGTACAACATGTGCTCCACTGAACTCTGACTTGAGGCAAAAGCATGACTCTTTATCTCAGATCTGAAAAGTATTCAGCGTGAGTGGGATCAACATCATACACTACATGTATTTGTTCTCATGTCTGCGTACACATAATATTTAAATGCTGAAAATCTTCTAATCAATACAGTTTCATGCTTTAATGTCATTCATAATATGGGTCTGTGCTTGGCATTGACCAGTTAGTTTCAGACAACTTATGCAACACCATTCAGAGTGTATGTCTATATGTCTGAGTGTACCGTATAAGGACATCTGTGGTATTTTGAGTAGGTGCACTGTGTGTACATAGAGGCACTGCAATAGAGTCACCCACTACACTAGATTCCATCTCTGGGTTCACATTTAGAAATGAGCTCATTGCTCTTCCTGTTTAGTAATAGGCAACCATCATACTATCTGTAGAGCAGATCATCCCAGATGAGCACTTGAAGTGGGTCTGTGGTTTACTACACTCTGTACGTCTGTCTGCACTTACCAGGAGAGGAGGTGAAGCAATACAGAGCCTAGTTGTTGTTCACAAAACACACCCAGGAAAAAGAGAAATCATCCTGGGATGAACATACACACCAGTGTTTTGGTTTGTCTCCCTCATCCTCACCTAGTTTCAGTGTGCGACATTAAAACTTAACTCATTCCTGGGGTGGGCTATTTTTGGACTAATGACTCAAACAGGGATGAGTCCTCCTTTCCTTTATTTTCTCACATGTCTGTCGCCAACTGCGTTTGTGTCTCTCAGCTTGCTTTTATCCCCATGGTAACGGTGGTAGAGGGAAACCCATAATCAACAGACAAAATCTGACTAAGAAATTCCTCCACCGCTCACGACAGCAAACCAGCCGTATCCCAGAATAGAAGTTATTGAGCCCTAAGGCTTGGTTTGTTCTCTCGTGTACTGAATCACAGAGGGGGAGGGGAGTACGAGGAGGTGTTGAACTGTTGTATTTAACAGTGACAGTTGAAAATTATTGAATCAAACACTTTTTCCCAGGCCTTGAACAGAGGGAGACATAAAAAAGAGAGGGAAGTGGGTCACACCCTGGTCAGCTATGGAAATCCAACCCAGCACAGATGTGTGTCACCAGGAGTCCTGGCACGGCTTCTTTCAATAGAAAAGCTGGACAAAGTTTATACACACTCAGTGCCTGGTGGCTATTGTCCAAAGTGTGTTGGTAAGGTCTCTGCTGGTGCCCAGAAACAGAATAATTCCACTCATTGAAACAAGCAGATGGATTATCTCCATTTCTGCAATGAATCTATAATAAATAAAACCTGGGTCAAACCGTGCCCATGATCAGGTGTCTGTTATGCAATAATCTATGCAAATGCAGTGGATTTATTTAATCTGCTATAACCCTGGAGCCTAGTTAAGACCAGGCTGAGTGTGCAGCTGTCTAAATAGCCGATGAGGCCGTGAACAGTCAGGGAGAGCAATCTCCCCTTGTGTGCCACTCCAGGGGAGTCCACAAAGCTGCGGTCTGCATGAGAAAAAGAGATGTAACAGTGCACTGTACATAAATGTAGCACCATTTTTTGCTTGTAGAAGCTTACATGTAATCTCCTGTGCAGTGGCCATAAAATCCACAAATTATAATTTACAGACAACGTGACATTTTTTGTTATAATTTAGACTGTTGCCACATCGCTTGCTTTCAGACATGTACACTGAAATTAAACAAAAACATGTCATGGTGGCATTACTGAGCTTCACTATTGTTTTACACAAACTTCTTTTTTGAAGACTTATTACTGTAAACTGCAAAGGAAAACAGTAATTACGATGCCGATTTGCAATACTTGTCAACAAAGCTGTTGTGTCAGGTATGGAGGCTTCACTCCCTTCATGAAGGGAGAAATTAAAACTTAGGAAATAGCTACTAAATCCCCAAAAAGCAGTGAGAGCTATGTCTGGAGAAATCTGGATCGTGCCGTGTTAGATCACCATGGTGTACAGTCATAAAATGATGAAAGACTGGCATGACTCTGCAGTGTGCAATTTACTGTCCTGGTGTCACAGTACATGATTTTGGGGTTTTAAAGGTCTTAAATTTCAAACAATTAACTTGTCAGTCTTGTTTTGGGCCACCAACATGCAAACAGTTGTGAGGTTTAAAATTAACCTACAGTATTTTCTAAATTACAGATCATTGTGTTTCTAAAGAGAACATTTATCCCTGCTAGATCAACAGACCAAAGCCCCGGAGGAAGCGTTGGGCGCTCTCCTCTGCAGAGAATTAGGGGATTTCCTTCAGCGCCAGGCCACCAGACTCAACTCTTTGAGGTGTCAACTCAACTCTTTGAGGTGGGGAACGATGGCACGGAGCAGAGTATATATTGTTTTTAAAAGATTTTGTTTTGAAAAATATGAACCAAAAATAACACGCTGTCCTGCTGCTGTGTACATACGACAACATCAGCAGAGCTACAGAGATGAGGTGTCTTCTTCTATTTAGCTGTTGATTTACTCTCCCCACTCTGACTCCTGAAACCCCCTGAGGGGAAAAGAAGAGAGAACACAGCAAGACCTCTGCATTTTATATTGTGTTTGTTTGGGTTTTAGTCGTATTAGTTTAAGAGTACCTCTGAAGTTTAGAACCCTACACATAATATGAACCTAAAGCTGAAGTGTTACCTGAGGTCACTTAAAAACACTAGACGTTAAGGTTAGAGCCTGGAAATGTGTTCAGCAAACCAGTTTAATCACATTATGACATATAATCCTTCATTTTCTCAGAAAAGTTAGAAATAACTATCACATTGTCTATTTGTAAATTTTAATGTGGCACTATCATTGCAGCACCATCTGCATGAAAAATAACTCACTTAAGCAGGCCGATTTTAACTCATTATCATATGGTTTTAAAAAATGGCCATGAGTGCCCTGGGGGACACCGCAAATGGATCTAGGAATAGAAAGCATCCAATAAAATACGACCCATATAATGCCTCACTGATGGCTGCATTAAAACCACAGGATGAAAAAATACCGCAGCAAAGCTATGCACTAAAAATGTCTTCTTTCGCCTGCTGTATATTGACCTTGTGTTGCTAAATTCTAAATCTACTGTATATAAATGATTTTGTACGCTTCCAGGTCCTTCCCTTAAATTGAGAAAAAATAAAGTAAAATAAAATAAATTTGTGATTACAATAGCAACGTAATCCTAAGCTTATCCAGATCTATCTTATCCGGATCTGGCAGTCATCTTTGTGCCAAGCAGGTTTAACTTATCTACAGCTGGTAGTGAACACTAAAATGAACACTAAAACCCCAACACCACCAGCCTCTGACAGGCACCCAACTAGTAGGGAAACCAATCCAAAATGCGTTCACTCGCCTAATCCGCACAGCTTCAGGGGGTAGAAATAGAAACTATTATATAATCGAACGAGGCTACTCTGCACTGAGCCACATTTCACCTTAAAGATAGGAAAATATTTGCTTTGTCACTTAGAAGAAAATTCTACCTTAGTTACGTATGTTTAAAATCATTTCTTATTGTATGTTAGAGTTTATTTGTGTTGACCTGTCTTGACTAATTTATTTACATTGAATGTGTGGTGTGTTGTATTTCGTATGAAAAAAATATTACTAATCGGCGAGTGCAATTTTTACAGAACATTTTACTGGATGTGTTTCATGCTACTGGTCAGTGGCACACATTTAAAAATGCCATTTGGCTGAATTCATCTAATGACTACCAGAACATTTTGTTCCACCACATCAAACACTTTCAGCTAGCTAACAGCCAACATTAGTCATTTACACCTATACTGCCAGTAAATATTAATGTCTAAAATGTTTGTGGCACAATGCTTTTCAGCAGTTTCAGCAAAAGGCCATCCAGGTCGCTGAATACAGTTATTTTTGTTTTTTCTCCCCCTTTCTCTGACGTATTAAGATGTCCACGACAGTCCTGCAACAAAATCTTTATCATATGTTGATATTGTGACCAAAGCAAACAACTTACTGCTCAATTTATTGCCTTTTTGTTTATTTGTTTTTTTTAGACAAAGGTACATTTCACGCATTGTCAGCCAGTGACTCAGTCCAGCTTACGCAATGGGACTCTTCAGCCAGAGTTTGACATTATCAGACAACTACCAGCGCCTCCCAAGGATGCAGTCATAGCCAGTATGAACAAGAGCCTTCACTGTTGTATTATGAAGGCATTCCCACATGGGCCAATACCATGCAGTGCCATTCTCAACAAGGATGACATTCTCTGTCTGTGCACACTGGGAACACACTCAGTCTAATAGCGTGACAACTTGGCATCAAATCCCATCAGCATCTTCAGTGTAGGTCACAGGAGAAGAGTTTTCACAAGGGTTTTTATACACCACAGTACTTTGAGTATGTTGGATTCTACATCTCAATTTAGATTTGGCAATTAGTTATATGGTGGATAGTAAAAGAGCTGTAAAGTTGATGAGAAATAACACTTTCACTACTACTTAGACTTAGGTTGCACACCAACCCTTTACTGTGCACGTGTTTTATCCAACACCCATTAAAAATTATTTCTGCCAATTCAGCAGCTGTTTTCATTGACTAGCTTTATAGGTATATAAATGGGATGCATGTCAGTGTGTTTAGGACTTTGAAACTTTGAGGTTGTTTGAGTTAAATCCAAAAGGCATGGCGTCATCTTTTAACATTTATTGTGCTACTCTCCGCAACCAGCAAAATCATTTTAAATGGGGGTATAAAACTCCCCATGCATTCTATGCCAAATTAAACCAGAAGGCTTCCCCCTTTCCTAGTGATATTTGTTATGCATATAAATAGAGTCAATTAACTGCAGCAGCCTTCGGGACATGCTTTTAAATGTGAAAAATGTACAGGAGTGCTACCATAAACCTGATTATCTTTCTTTAAGTAAAACAAGCAGAATACAAATGAGTGTATTGCCAGGACAATCATCAATATCCATCCATTTATGCATTTATGCTGCATGTGTAAATGTGTGTACATGCTTTTGAGGGTGGTGAGTGTTGCACAGAACAGGCTCTTAAGCACCATGGGAAAGTGTCACTGTTATTTACAAATAAACTTATTTGCCGTGATAAGCACATTTGAGCGCCTTACACGGGGTCTTAGAAAGAGGTAAACTTTGCCGTGATCCGCTTTCAAGTTTTGGATTAGATTATGCACAGAAGCACAGACTATTGGAAATTAACTCCAATGTGCCAGCATGTAATTTCTGGTCCCCAGCAGGAGCAGCGAAACTCAAATCCATATCAGCTGCCTAACATCCCATGAAGTAGTCAAAATGTTTTCCTTACTTATGAAATTAACTTTATTAGTTTTACAGACTAAAAACCTGATCTGGATCACTGAAAATCAACATACAGTATCATTTGTAGAAGAAATATACAGTATTCATCCCCATATGTATGCATTTTACTGGGTGAAAAATGTGGCTTCAGAGTAGATATATAAGTAAGTTTGATGAGACATAGACATGATTTGTTTCCTGTCGTCAGTTATGAGTCAAGATTGAGCTGAACTGTGTGTTGAGTGTGGCGGGTCAAGAGAGAAACTGACCTCTGCTCTGGTAAACGGATTAGTCGGGGGGCCTATAGGGTGAAGAACTGATGCAGGGACACTGGAGGAAGATACAAAAGAACAAGTTATGAAACCCTGACCTTAATATGTCTGTTGTATTTGTGCTATACAGAATGAAACTCACCCAGTCCACCTTGAACCTGCGCCCTTCAAACACATTCAACCTAACGACGATTAGCAGGAATGTTCGCTCATATGCAGTCCACATGACCTATAAACACACCAATTGAGCCAGAGATCAGTGTGAGGGTCTCCATGCTGTACGTTTGAATGAATGTAGGTCAGTTGACCCAGCACTATGCAGTGTCACATGACATAACTTTAAGTGGAAGGGTAAAAGTTTATCAAAGCAGCAAAGGGAAAGAAAGATAGCCACCTTAATGGGTCAAAGTCAAACTCACAGAAAGCACTAACACAGCAATAACACATTTGGACAAACATGTAGCTGTTCTGGACAAAATAAAAGAAACTGAAAAATCTAATGCAACAAAATCTTGTAATATTGAAAAAGTTTGTGATAATAATGTCATTTAGGCATTTCAGTTGTGACTCTTGCTCACACCCACTAGTGAAAGTTTTGTTTGTTTATTTGTTTTAATGATAGCAAAGCATTACCAAGAATGCCAGTATCTTCTGAAGAGTGACGGTATCGAGCTCAGATGCAGAGGCTCCATCTTCCGCAGACACAGGAAGCAGCTGGGCCCTGAGCTAGCACTGCTCTACCTCGACATTATAAGGGAGTTAACCCACTCTTCAGTGGCTGACCGGTGCTTTGACAGCTGAGAGGAAATCATTCTGAAGTAGGCTGGTGATCCTTCCTATCCAATTCACAGACCAATAAGTCCCTGTGGCCGCAGAAAAGAGAGAGAGAGAGAGAGAGAGAGAGAGAGAGAGAGAGAGAGAGCATGTTAGTCTTGTCAGTGAGCCAGAATATCGTTCCCTCAGGAAACTCCTTGAAAACGCACAGTCAGACCTGAATAGTGCTTTGTGAGTCCTACACTGCAGCTGAGGCAGCACCAGGAAAAGCCAGGAGGATTTCAAATGTTTCATCTGTTTATTTTCATCTCAGTGACACTGTGAGAGCCTATTGTTAATAGATAGCTCAGGTAGCAGGAAATAACAGGAATCGAGCAATTGAAACGTAATCATCTGGCACTGAGGTCTCCGTCATTGATATTTTCTACAAAGCGTCCTGGCCTTTTAGAGAAGCTCATGCATCCCTAAAGAAAATGAATCTATTACAAACAAATATATGGCTGCTGTTTATTAGTGGACATGTGAACCTCCAAGAAAGAGAAGAGTTATATGTCTTCTCTTACTGTACTGTACACTTACTGGTCACTGAATTAATGTGGACGTTCATACCCTTTCCTTTTTAGAATATATAGAGTTTTAAAATTAACGTGAACAGTATACAGCATGGGACACTGATTTGTAAATGTAGAAATAATTTCCTACACTAAAAACATTGGTTAACAGTGTGTTTATGTCTGGAAAGTTGTGTAATAAAGCGTTTTGCTTGGATCAGTTAATACTCAGAGGACCAAGAATCAGGTATTGTCAGCCATATAGTAGTACATCTTATATTTCAGTGTCACAATATGCCCAGTGTTATTTCCATGCCTTTATCTGTTTGCTCCTTTTAGTGACGGGGAGCTGGATCCTTTCCCAGCATGCACTGCAGGTAACATTCAGGGGCTTTAGTATGATTAATGAATTTAGAATGTAATGGCTCCATATCCTGACCAGCAAAACAATGGAGCACATCCTGTGTATGTGTATTTTTCCCTTCGCTATTTTCCATATTTTAGATTACTTTATTTAGTTACTGTGCAATCTGACTAAAAAAGTCTTATTCTATAAAAATAAATAAAAAAGTGAAATAAAAAATCACCATTGCGGATGTGTTTTACTTTAATGTTCACATTGTCAAAATCTTTCCTGCAAAACATGACATGTTAATGTAACTTACATTCAAATTGCAGTGACCTATAATGTCTAAAATACCTTATTACAACTATATGCTGTGGTGTTCTTTAGGGAATCAAAGTAAACAAAGCAAAGTAAGACTTAAGCATACATACTTAAGCACACACACTATGTACACACAAACCCTCTGCTTGGGGAGTGTTGCGTGTGAAGATTGTTGAGTCTGCAGAGGTAGACTCTGTGCTCTGAGCTCTGTCTGCCTTAGAGGTTATGCAAGATAGGCTCACCAAACGCTGCCTTCTGATTGGCTTCATGAAACTGACTGATTTGAATACCCTTCCCCCGAAACGGTTTCTGTCTGGAGTTCAGCTGACTGAGAGTAGGGCTGTTTTGAATGAATGACTGTACTTCATTTTAGAACATCCACACCACTGGAAAAAAAAAAAAAAAAAAGCATCCTTCTAAAGGCCAACCTTTTCTTCTTTATTTGGCAGTTGGACACAAAGGAGATCCAAGCAAAGAAATACTTCTTAACTGTTCTGGGAGGGAGTGAACTGAGTGAACTGAGAGAAGGAAAAAGGAGGAGAAACATAAAGCTAGATCAACAAATCTAACCTCCTCTGGGTTCTGGTTTCAGTAGTGTAATCAAATATGGGAGGGAACTGCACTTCCAGCGTGACAATGAAAAAGCTGTCTTACATAAGAATCTGAATTCCGCTTATGCCTGGGATGAAACTGCATGGGAGAAATATTCTTTTTCTGTTCGACCCCCTCATCCAAGACCAAATATAGAGTGACCAAAGCCCAGAACCTCAGGAAAAGTTGTCAACTATTAACCATTAAAAAGAATCTCATTTTGGTTGCAGCTTATGAACATAATGGGCCACTGGCTATTTCATGCTGCATTTCACTTGACAAGGCAGCAGGCAAGACTAACACCCTTGGAAAATGTTATTTTGTGATGCAGACATAATGTCCCTCAGAATCCGTGCAGTGATTCCTGGAAAGGCATTTTATTTTTTATTTTTTATTTTTTTTACAAAGTACTGCTGTCTTTCATAAGATATAACATTTCATGTTTATTTCTAATCCTAATTCTGTTTTGCACGGCAAGACATGGATCAGGTGCACTTTCCAAACAAGGGAAGAAAACCACACACACCCATGTAGTGCTGTTCATTAAGAGGGAAATAAACCACACCCTTCTCTTCATGAAAAAAGTAATACAGTTTCAATCCGAAATGCTTAGACTCGGGCCCATTGCTGACACATTGCACTAATATTTGTTATGCACTGAGAAAACCCTGAGGAAGTCTTTTGTGCTTGCTTTTACTTTGGCAGCCTGCACATACACATACATGCAAAATCATGTCATGGTTGTAATACTCTTATACTTTCTTCTCAATTACCAAAACCGCCGGTGTTGCATAAGCAAACAGCAACTGCCTCAGCAAATAATTCACCTCGTCCTCCCAGTATATTTCTCCATTGTGTGAAAGCACACATCAGTTCTGCCGACAGGTCTAAGAAGCAGAAACAGATGTGACCTAGAAGCACCCCTCCTTCCATCCTGTCTGACCTCCTGTCCTTGTAATGGTCAACATGCCAGTATCAATCCATGGCATTAAACGGCCTGTCCTCAACCTGTGTCAGAGAAAGTAGCACAATGAATTGGATGAAAAAGCCTGTCACTTTCCCTGTCTTTCTGGTCCAGAGGTGAGTCACCGTCTAAAACAAACACAACACCAGTCAACAGGGCATCTATACTTGATGCCAAACACAGCTGTACATGATAAACTCTTAGGACAGCGACCTGCCTGGCATCACTCCCTGAACATGTTGTCTGTGCTGGCGAGGCAATGTTCTTAGAAATGTTTAATAATTAGATCAGATATTGATTTTCGATGCTTAAGAGACACAGGGTCAACCAAAAAATTCTGCTCTATTCACGGTCTGTCTGAAATTCTTTTCTGATAACTTGAAAAGTCTGTCTTGTCATATCCCGATAGATCATGTAGATCATATAGATCATGAGCAATTAATAAAATACACTTTTTTGTCTAAGTCTTTAGCTGCATATTTTTGGTATTTATATAATGCATACTAGTGTTTTTTTTTATTACATAGTAGTCGTTTGTTTTTGTTTTAATAAGTAATATATAGTAATATAATGGACACATGTAGGTTATACATTTGAAATTAAACAGTAAAAACCCCAACAGAAAGAATTTCTTCAAAACCACTCATGCAAGAAAAATTAGCTATTTTGTACAGATTTTTTGTTTCCTTTTGAGGCCTGGAGTTTTTCATTCTGACTTTTGTTTACGTGCTGTACGTTTGAAATGACTGTGATCTTTTCAGCCGTTCAGCCTGCTGAAGTGGCACTTTGGCAGACCTAAAGAGGTTAAATAAGAGTTCTGGGTTAAAAGGCTGAGTCATATACGGAAAAGCAAACGCACCTTCTGACTACTACACAAAGGCATCTGTATCCAACTTGTTCGGTAGGTACAGTGAGTGCTGGAACACTCAAGACCTCTCAGGCAGTATACATCATACATCATATTCTCACACTCAGACGACACTTTTATGCCCCTGGCTAGAATGGTCTAATTCAGTAGTCGCCCCCGAGGTTATCTCTTTGGGTTTATTTATGATGTGACAACACAAATTCATAATACCGTGCTATCAAACAGTGTATAAAGTGTGCAGTGAGTTATTAGAGACCCAGGAAGAGAGACAGCAAGCTGAAAGAAGGTCAGGAGTGTGTGTGCATGCATGTGCCTGCGTGTGCAGCTTTTTTTTTTTTACTGTCTTCACTCAGCGTGCAGCATATGTTGGCTCACAAGTCTGTGTATGTTCATGTGTGTGTACATAATGAGTGTGGTTTGCTCTGAACAGGGTTTTTTCACTTTGGGAACATACTACCTAGTCTGACCTGCAAATGCCCTCGGCAATAAGACTTATTGTACACAACAGCAGACACGTCAAGCATCAAGGTCAGCATAACTAGAATTGTACCTGGTCACAATTGCAGCAACTGTACGCGCAAGGATACATCATAATTCACATATTAAATTCTTTGATAAAGAAAAAATATGTTTATTTATGAGATTCAACTTTCAAATTTAGAGTCAAGTAAAAGTTACATTTCACAAATAATTTAGCAAAACTGTTTGATTTATAATGTATAAATTGAATATTATTATCATAAATGCACAGTGCATCATTCATAAATAATAAAATAGTCCAACTCCAGAGTGATTTGAGCTCTGTGCTTTTGTACAAACATTTCAGGCTCCTTTGTGTAGTTTCTGAATCAAGAATCTAAGGATAGAGGATATTGTATTTTTTCCAGATTGTAAAACCTCTAAGTTTTCTTTGTTTTTAATTCTAACTTTTTAGGTGATATAAGTTTTATACAACATAAGAATTTACATTCATGAACATGAACTTGTCATCTAATCATTAAAAGTGATCCATCTATTTTGAAGCTCGATGAAGTGCACAGTGCAAACCAAAACAACAGCAACTTATCATTCTAAACAGATATGAATTAGATTTCAACACCTGAATCAAAACATTTTATTGTGCGAACGGAAAACACAATGAGAGAAATCTCTCAAAAACAACAGAAACAAAAACTGTGGCAAGCTGTTTTCATTAAAGAATTGCATGAAATGACCCCAGTCACTAGTTGGAAAACAAAGATTAACAGAAACACGAAACCTATTATTTCAGTAAATCTCATCCCACCACTTGAAAGCACGATGACAACCGGTTTCTGTTTAGTTAAGTGCCTGTCAGTATAAATGGTTTACTGTTACTCTTAGCTTTGTGTTCACCGTGCGTAATAACTAATTAAGACACTGTCTTAAAGCACTCGAAACAGGCTGTTCTGAATGAAGGTTTGTCGTGACTGACAGACACCATGCCACAGAGTACTGGGGCCAGTAACCTGAAGTCATCTATCTTGTCAAGATGATGAACGTCTTCGTGTGATCTAAAGTTGTGAAGAATCTGCTTTCGGGGATAATGTTACACATTTATGTAACCCTTGCATGAGGGTTCTATATGTGCATGTGTTAGTGTGTATGTGTGTCATGTGGAATGGAACAGTCAGACCTTTTGTTTTTTCTCCTATTTTGCAGTTTCAGTTTCATAAGCAGATTCTTCCTTGCAGCGCATCCTGCCACACCTCGCAAATATTGGCTCGATTCTTAAAAGCTTTCGGTGAAGTTGACATTATCGTTGACGCATTCTCTTTTTTGAACCAAACAGGTCTATTCAGCTACTTAAAAAAGGTAGAGCACTCCTACGCCTTCTGATCTTCTAAGTCCAGGGGAATGTGTTTGGTTGTTGAGTTCCTTTCAAACTAATGGTCGGAGGTGGAGGTCAACTCTTTGATTCCAACGAAAACAAGCTGCATTTTGCTGACCTTGAAATAACCGTTGCATAAGCCTCAGCATGGGTGCACAAGAGAATGTGCACCAGCAGAGTTGTGTTTGTTTGTGGGTTTGCTTGGTTGCATGTGTGGTGGGACATTTGTGTTAGAGTTGAATGCATGTGTAGAAAAGTACTAGCAGTTTATTTTTAATGTGTGTATGAGTGTTTTTTCACGCAACTGGCATCAGTGACGCCTCCTTTCCCATTTATCTGCAGGGCGACACAGCAGGGTGGTACTCCTGAACCCTGGCCAAGATATGTTTATACTTTTAACCTTATCGTCTGCAACTGTAGCTCCACCGATGCCAAGAATTGGATCACAATGTTCAGCACCTCTGCAACTGCAGTCTCGGAGGGATGACCACAACACCGCCTAAATAGGCAATAATGCTGAGTGAGGCAAAGTGAATGAAGTCATCAGATGAAACACACTGACATTATTACTGAAACAGATATATTGTTGCTGATTCTGTACTACTTATCCAATAAAACACATGGTTTGGCCTAAAAATGACACTCCAGCTTTTAGCGATCTCATTGGGAAAGAATTTTATGTCTCCAGGTTTGACTGATGTTTGACCCAGTGACAGGTTTTCAGCTGTGTGTTTTCTTTTATTCGGGGTATGTACAATATGTACTCCTTGCGTGAGTTTGCACCCTAGAAACCTGTCAAACCCATCATACCGGTGATATGAACATTTCAAACTCTGCTTCGCTAACGGGCTGTTATCTGTCTGGCCTTCATTCTCTCAGGCTGTCAGTCACCTGAACCCGAAGCAGCTGGGAATGTTGCTTGATAATGTGCCTCCTCTGCAAATCGACACCTCGTAGTCTCAAAGCTAACCAGCACTACTTGATGACAAATGATTTACAGATCAAAGAGCCTGTAGACATGCACATGTTTATGACTGATAAATTGCAGTGGTAGCATTAGCACAGTGGTCCACAACTATTTAAGCTCTGAAGCAATTATATAAATTATTTTGACAAATATGATCACTTCTGCATTGCTCTCACTGTCTCTTTTTCAGCACTTTGAGCTACAAAAAAGCGTATGGTCTTTCAATGGCACTGATTAATTTGTGCTGTAGTTGCTATGCAAATATATTGTTTTAAATCATTTTGTTTAGGAATTTGGATTGACAACATTCTATTTGCAGAAACACTAAAACACATATGCATGGTCTTTTCACTGCCTCACGGACATTTGTGTCCATAGATTATTGTACTTTTTCATCATCATCATGCAAACAAGCATGTTTAAACAATGCAAATCTGTGTATCTTTGATATTGTTGCATCCACTAAAGAACAACATTCAAAATAGAGTAATAAATCTAAATATATAGGATGTTGCCTTATCAGGTGATATTAATTCTTTCATTTTCATTGTGTCTGCAGGCACTTAGCAGGTGTTGTGTTTGGCAGTAAAATCTCGGTGTAATTGCTTTAAAGTATGAAACGTGGACTCAAATAGCTTGTGTGTCTCTATATGTGTCTTTACATGTTCTTTTACACTCGGGGTTGAGGTCCAGAATGAGTGTTAATTTGTGCGTCTGGCAATAAAAATGTGTTATGTAATAAACGCAAAGTGTGAACCGCTCTGCTGAAACACTTTACCTGGGCGAACTCCGACTATTTCATTGTACTGCAGGCTCACCCATACCTTACAAATCTGAAAGAATACTTATTAGATTGAATTATAGATAGGTACTATTTATCAAAATTGATCACTATTAGGGAATAGTTTCAATGACAGAGTTACAGTAATGATGGAAGGACAGTAACCTCAAGGTGGTGTAAGCGATTCTAGGTAATGCAATTCTTTTCCAACACACTTCTTTTCAAATTTACCAAATATCTCCTCATGGGCTGCTAACTTTCTCCTCTGTGTGTGCTGAAAAAAAATCTGGTGTTTGTACACAGTCCTGGCCCTGTAAATAAAAAGAAAGTGATTAGGACCGAGCCACACGACACTAACTTGTTATTCCAGCCAGGATTTTAGCTAACATTGGTTACATTAGTTGGTGTGTCACTGTTCACATTATATTGTGATATTTGTCATTGTATTGGATTTCTCTAGAATTGCATAGCCCACTTTTAATTTCTTTCATGCCTTATCTCATGCTTCTAGGAGTGACCCCCCCCGAAAATGCACATTACCTATAATGATATATAATGATCCATTTTATATGCAGACTCAACTACTAGCTCATACATACAGCCACCATTCATTCATCTCATATTATTTCACTGACAGAAGTTCTGTTCAGTTCAGTCTTTGTCACTTTTCATTTTCTCCCTGCAGGTAGGAACTGCACTCATGGGACTGAATGTTGTAAATTATATTCTGTTGTGAGAGGTAAAATGCACATCACTGTTCAGGATGACAAAAACAGCTCAATGACACAGTTAGCACTTCTCATTCATCCCCAGGGGAGACAATGAGGCAGCTGTCATAAGGTTCTGAGATTGAATATCAACCATTATTGAGAGTGTGTATCATGTCAATACAAAGACTAAACGAACAGAACAATCTTAAATGAGAATATATGAATTATGCAAGTGGAAGGTTTTTTGGGGTTTTTTTCTAATAAAGGCTGTGCAGTGCATTATAATGATATTCATTCATCAAGTGTTGTTCCTAACATATTAGCCTGTATAGAACAGATCAGGCCGATCCTGTAATTCACCGCTGCCACTGCTATTTATTAGATTCAATTTAGATATTTGATTTAATTTGCTCTCAGAATCAGAAAGAGAATCAGGTTTATTGCCAAGTAGTTTTTCTTTTTTTGCTTTGGCATCTTGGTGTATAAACATTACTATAATATAATAAGAGAAAAGAAAAATAAATAAGCACTGAAAGTTAAGAGTCTTCCATATAAAATAGAAATGTACAAAAAAAAGATGCAAAATGGAGTGTGCATGTCTGAATGAGATAAATCTACACCCGTTTATTGTAATTTACTTTTCTCAGTTGTGACAACTGAAATGTGAAGTGTATAACAAAGAGAAGGATCATGGTCCTAAAAATCAAGAAAACTTTTAATTTGGATCGTTTGTGTAGGTAGAGTCCTAAAACCTGTTAGTTGTTAGCCCTCGAAGAAACAGCATCTGTGGTGAAGAAACTGTTTCGCAACAGCAGCATAAAGTGAGCAAGAAAAAAGCACAAACAACAACAGCAGTATAAAGTAAGCTAAAAAAAAAACAGGGTGGCCTGACTTGTAATTTCCAAAAATATAATCATGTAGCTGCCAATATATGGGAACATAAAGATTTGGCCCACTGGCAAACAATCCTTTCTTATCCACAATAGCACCACACAGCTGGAGACAGGTTAAACGGCTGTAAAGAACCCTCATAAAGTTCACAACCCCGGAAAACCGCAGGAAGGCAATAAACCATCAGAGAACATGCTGTTCTGCCATCCAAAAGGAGCTCAGAGGAGGCGGTCTGCCAACGTAGAAGCAGGACGGGACAGGTGTGATCTTTGAGGATGCCTCAAGCTCACTCTGTCTGTCACCCAGCAATTATATGATTTAATTATATGTGTATGGTTATGGGATTCAATGATATGTTCCCAACTTTATTATTCAAATTCGCTGTGCAGCACGGCGTAAACAGATATCTATTATTATCGCTCAGGTGCAACAAGTGGAATTAACAATAAGCTATGACCGAAATTAACCAGATAATTAACCAGATAAAACCAGTATTGTTTGTATTGTTGCACAAGGTTTCACCTGTTTGACCCGAAAGTTGCCTCGCGTTCACCTTTGTGACCTCAACCTGTCACGCACGCCTGAGAAAAAGACTGTTCCACGCTGTCTGTCCTCAGCCTGTTGTACCACTTTCTGCCTGCCTCACACAACTGTGCTCATGCAACAAATGACAGGTCACAGATTATCATTAGGGAAGTTTTGAAACTTACTTGAGTATGATGAGTTGAGAAATTGGAAAGCACTGAGAGAGGGAACTTCTGCTGAGTCGGCTTCTTTTCTCCACAATATCTCCCTTGTGAATTTCCAAGAAATGAGTGTGGAAACTGTAAGTGCACACGACTGCCACACAATTAAACCATGAGAAAGAAGGCACCTACAGTTGACAGCCTGGGTGCATATCTCAAAGCTGTTTTCTTATTAAACATAAGCAAAATTCACTCAAAAGCATGTTTTCCACATACTGCTTTCTCACATCAATAAGTAGAATGTGTTACCGTGACAAACAGTACTAATGACATAATACTCCCCTACCCCTACTCAATTGAACAAAGGTTTATTGTGTTATTTTTGGAAACACAGAGCCTGAGACAAACTATTCTTCCAGACAGAACGCAAACATTCACGGGACAGAATGGAAATCTTATCTATAACTGTAAATTATCTTCAGCCGTTGCATTCACCTGGACTGCAGGAATCCTGTAGCAAACAAGAGGTTTAACTCTGAGAAAGCCTGTTGATTCTTTTGTTATCCTCCACCTTTTTGGTACTGTATGTAATCCCATCATGACATCACGTGGATTTTCTTTCATGGAAGACATTTGATATGTCACAGCAAGACAAACATGGGTTTAATTTATAACTAACAACTTAATTACATTTTGGTGAGGCAGTTATATGGCCCTGGTATTATTTATGTCTCACTGACACTTAATGGAACAGAGCCATCATTTGTGGTGTTAGTTACATCTTTACTTTTCATGCTATGACAAGTGAAAATGTCATAAGGGTCAGAACTGATTGCTCTTTATCTCCATTAAAAAAAAAAAAAACACCTTACTGACACGGCTCACCTCTTTGTTTTATATTTTTCTGTCATGTTTTGTCATTTTGGTTTGCAGAAAGTTTAAAAAACATTCATAAGGCATACATAGGCTTTTTGTTTGCCCATTGTTGTTTTCATGGAAGATATTTTGCTTTGTCATAGCAGTTAAGGCACAGGTGTTACTGATAACATTAACATGGCTTTGTTTGCACTAAATCATGATAATGTAACAGTGAGCCAGCATGCACATTACCCGGATCTTGAAACCAAAGCAGCTAAATGAAATTCATATATTTGAATATTTACACCTGTGCTTTTAAATTGAATTTAAAACCGCAATCATAGCACACAGCAGATTGTAACAGCTTTGTAATCATGTTACAGTGCTACAGTTTTGCTACAGGAAATATGTACCAGAGATTCAACTTTGCAATATGTTTGGGTAAATGAACTACAGCAGTGTTATAGATTATGTAGATTATTAAATAGGGTGCACCAGCATCTCTAACATTATAATACATTGCATTTAATTGTCAGTTGTTAATTGTCAGTTATTGTTTTCCCTGTTTTTTGCTTCCATGCACGTCACAACTAAGGAGGTTCTTCCCCAATCTCCCTTCTGTATAAGCAAAAATGGGGCAGTCACAGAGTGATGGTTAATATCATCATCTGTTTTCATAATCTGACATACATGCCTCGGTTCTGACATGACTTGCTGCTGTGGCCACCCAGTGAACTCCGCCCCGCA